TAATCGCAGCTACTAGTAGTAAACGGTGCATTTTTTAAGCAAGGTTGCGCATGTCTATCGGTCATGCTGCCCTGTTGCACATTTATTGGATAAAGTCATGGTTTTTCTGCGTATATCCGTCACGCCGTTTTGTGAAGGAGGATATGCGAGCGAATACAAAGCAACTACGACACTCTCGTAATTCTTGATTGTTGACTTTAGAACCAGAAGTTAGATATGAATAATCTTAAAATACTTAGGCATGTGTAGGAGTGGATCGTCAGATTATGCAAAAGCAGAGAAAATGATCATCTTACCAGGGTCAGCAAAGCGTATTCCGGATGAATCGTATACAAAACTAGCCATTCTATATGTCCCTTGCCGAATATGCAGTCCTAATCCGAAAGGGCATTTTAGGTTCCTCGTAAGCATGCAACTACGCATAAAATATTCATTGATATACTACGCGAATGCATTCGCACAATTATGAACGCACTGTTGATATGTTCGATGCTTACAAGCAGCTAACTGATGTTCCACTCAATAGAAATGGGGGCGGTGGCAAGTAGAAAAATCCCTTCCCTTATAAATATGTTCCTTGGATTGGTTAATTTTTATTGCCTGGACATTAATTACTGTTTCCAGAAGGCGCAAATTTGTGGCAAAATAAATCGGCCGCTTAGTCTGCACATATAGATTCCCATTCTGGATTTTCTCCTTACAATTAATCGGCACCGGGTTAACACTTCTTACACCTCCACTGCGCACATATGACTTGTTGACTTTTCCTTCTAGACTTTTACAACTGTAAGTAAAAATTGTTTTTATGCTCTATTGCATATACTGTGTCATAGTCAGTTTCATAATCAGTAGGCGAATAAAAAGGTAAAGATTCGTCAGGAATTTAAATTAATGCGCTATTTTGCGGAAGGATTATATAGATGCTGTTCAAATACTAATAGGCATCTTATCGGAAAAACGCTGTTTTACACGCAAAAACTGGATTGTCTGCACGACAGCGGACATTTTTGGTGATTTATATTTTAAATTTTCACAAAGGTCAACTATCACATTCGCTCAAAATGCTTGCCTCTTGGAAAATTTACCGCTTAGAACGCAATCCCCCTTCCGAGCACCTCCACAAGAGACTGCGAATTTTATTTGCATGAATTTTAATACCTACGTTTCCACAAGGTTTCCTGTGTGGACTAATTAGCCGTCCGTTTTATCTGCAAACTCACGTTTAACAGCCGCGCTGTTTGTGTATAATAAATTAACCCTCGTTAACCTGCTCATAAGTCTTCTCAACCCCCGATTGGATTTATGTGTCTCCCTGACTATTCCTTGTAGATGACTATCCTGAAGGTAAGTATAAGACGCATTGCCAACTTTAATGCACGAATTACACAAGTATGTTTAAAGCGTCTGTTGTTTCTACAAGGCTGCATTATGCACAATTTCATTGTTTGGCGGCTTCACTGACATTAGGCGGCCAAAGGCATGCAATGCGGACTGAAATTCAAAAATTTGCTTCGGTGGGGAGTGTTGAGTCTAGACGGTGAGAGCATTTAGAGACTTACGATCCCCAGGCCAAATCCCGAATTATAGGAAAAGACAATTAACCAAAATGAGAGGTATATTGTGAACGGGTTTGTCAGTTGTCCTCAGAGGCGGTGATGGTCTCTAGAGATGCCCGAGATAATGTTAACCGTGTACAGACCTGACTGAGATTCTACGAGACAGCGCTTACGATGGCTTTTGTGTGTTTGTGGGGCAGTCTGAGTTAATGCCAATTGATTTGTTTTGATTTATCGAGGGAGGGTATTCAAGTGGCATGTGCCGCATTCGCAATGGGCTAGTGTGTTTAAGCGTCGCATGGCAGCTGCAAGTCCGTGGACGCACGTGGGTCCGAGTTGAAATCGGCCTAGTGGCAGCACGTCTAGAAATGCTCACTGCGAAGGTTAATGAATGTTACACAAGGTTGCTTTGAATAAGGAGTCCAGGCATGCTCATGAGGGTTTCAAGCGCTGTGTACAATTTCGACAGTTGGATCCCGTCCTTACGATGGATCTAGCTATGTCTGAATAAGGAGGGCTGACGCTAATCAATCGGTCGGTTACCGTCTTGCAAATATACCACATGTTATAAGTTCACAGACTTAAACTAGACCAAAAAGAATGTACCTTGCGTTCTCCAGTTGTCTTTTCACTGACTGTTTTATAACGAACTGCTTCAAAGTTGATTATAGTAACACTAACATTTCATTTGCTTCTTCTATTCAGAGTCAGAACATAATAGTAAGTTTTAAGTGATGATATTCATCATTTTCCATGTTTAGTTACTTTTTACATCGGCGCATTTTTCCTCATTAATGTCACGCGCAAGCACCTTCATGATTTCCCCTTATCAGACACTCACGATGAGGTGGAACACAGTTCAAATTTTAGACATTATAACTTATACGCAAATGCTTTCTGGGCTTTTCAAATGCACTTTGTACATCCTACGTCAGTCATCGCATCACACAATTATGCACATTCCGAATTATACTAACCATTCAGAAACTGAGTTATCTTTCTGGATAATCACAACTGCCAACATTAATCGGTGCATTTCGTAAACAAGGCTGCGCTTGTCTATCGGCCATGCTGTCCTGTTGTGCCGTTATTGAATAAAGTCACAGTTTTACGGTATATATCCGTCACGCCATTTTGTGTAGGGGGATATGCGAGCGAATACAAATAAACTACGACACTCTCGTAATTCTTGACTGTTGCCTTTAGAACGAGAAGGTAGATATGAATAATCCCTAAATACTTAGCAATATGTAGGCGTGGATAGCCAGATTATGCGAAAGCAAGGAAAATGATCATACTATTAGGGTCAGCAAAGCGTATTCCGGATGGATCGTATATAAAACTATCAATTCTACATGCCGCTCTTCGGATATGTTGTCCTAATTTAGAAAGCACCTTTTAGGTTCCTCGTAAGCATGCAAATACGCATAAAATATTCCTTGATATACTACGCGAATGTACTCAAACAATTACAAATACGTTGATGTTTGTGAAAGCTTACAACCATCCCGTCCCCACAAGATGCTTACCTCGTATAAAATGTACAGCATAGAACTCTCAGACTCATCCGAGCATTTTCACTCGAGACTGCCAACTTTGCTGGTGAGAATTTCACTACCCAGGTTTTTACAAAGTTATAGTGTGTGGAGTCATTAGCCATCCGTCACATCCGCATTCTCTGCCTATAAATGATTGACCTTTTTCAACCTGCATATACGTCTTCCCACCACATAACTAGGCTTATATGCTTTGTTCATTCCCCCCTTTAGATGACAGTTCTGATCGTAAGTAAAAGCTCATTGCGAATTTTATGCTCAAATTTTACAAGCATACTCAAAATGCCTGTTATTTCTCCACAGCCGCCATATGTGCAGTTTGTTTTTTAGATGACATATTTGGCGTTAAGACATACGAAATGCAGATTGGGATTCCAACACGTGCTTCGGTTGGAAGAACTTAGATATGTGATGTCTTACTATACTGATAGGCGTGCTACGTAATCTAGAGGGATGTTGCGAATAAAAACGTTATGATCATTGGAGACCCAATCCGGAGTCTTTGGAATCCAATATACTCGCGAAATGTAGACTTTCAGGCCGTTTGCCTTTTGCTATCTTTTCTCGGCTTAATTATACGGTCGCTCAACATTCCATGAAGGAACCTACACACAGTTACTCATTTACTCTTATCATAATTGCCAACAACGATTTCTAAATTGTGTTTTCTGACAGTCTGCTTCTAAATAACGTTTTACATGCAATTATAGTAATTTTGCAGGAATACAAGGTTACCCATAAAACAATATCTATGATTAATAAAAGCGCAAACAATTAGACGTAGTAGAATTCCTCTGACGCATCTGACAGTCTTATTTAATAAGAAATTTTTCTCTATTCAAAATGCAGATTTTAGTAAATATGCCGCATTTCTCAAAATATCTATCATATCACCAGTGTATGTTATAATATTTGAAGATAAGGTTTTTAATAAAATAGCGTGGTTATTACAGCATAGGTTGTTTGCGGCCCTAGCTAAGGAAATCAGTTTAGGAAATAGCAGAGTCAAGAATGGCGATATGTAATTTTGTCTTAAAATTTATCAGTCTGATATCCAGGCCAAATGCTTATAAACGGTAATAAACTACAGAAGTTCACGAGATATAGGATGCAAATCTGCTAAACCGCGTGAATATGACGTGTTCGGTGAACAGAACTTTTCCCGATTTCTCAGAACATTGTTTGGTGACCACAGTCATCCTTTTAACTAAAATATCAGTTCGCGGAGATAAATGTATATTTCTGAATTATTCGATTTTCGATGTACAAACCCCGATATAAGCATAAGAATAGGATGAACTATAGAAGGATAAAGGAGCATATTTAATTTGCCGCATAATCGGAAGTGCTTTTACGTTACCAAAAGCGCCGGAAATGTTATCTGCCGGGTTTAATGACAACATATGTTACAGTAATGAAGTTCTGACTTTGTCCACACAATCGGTGCTATCCTCGGCTTCCCTAACAGCTTTTCTACTTACTTTAGCTTCCTCAGCCTACTATACGTTTAGTGCTTTAAGCATGAAAATTACGCATTGCAATTATCTCCGCCATCTTACATTTGTTATTTGATAAAAACCAAACTCTACGTCCCATTATCACAAACGCTGCCTTGTTATTCAAGCCGATTACTGTCAGCCCATGACAAAGTACCAATCGCGGTTAGATGTGTTATGTAGACCAGATCTCCGTCTTAAATCAAAAAAATTGATTTTGTTTCTTAAATGGTGATCAAACGCCAAAACGAACTGGAAGATTAGTACAGACATGTATCTTAATTAGTTCTCGCAGATTACTCATGACCATTGGCCTCTACACATCCGTACGTGTCCGATAAAACAACAGATTAACGAATTTTGCTCGTGTCAATCCATCGATCCGCGTTCGGATGCTTTACTCCTATTCGATGACGACAGCGACCCGATTTAACAATGAACCAGACGGCACCCGCTTAGGTAACTATCCCTCCGATGTTTCCTTCCTAAGTGAGCCACCCAACCCTCGTTTAGAGGGGAATCAATGTCCTCTACATTCGGTGGAACTGGATTACACTGCGAGATTTCGGGAATTCTGGATCTGAGCAATACATCAGAGATTTATTGCGTCTCTAGTTTGATGTTATGCAGTCTATCTGATGTGTCCGTTAGGACAGTGGCCTTTAGAGGCAAAACAAGCAAGACGCGGTCTACATGAGAAGGCCCTAGTAGTCCAGGGTGAGTGGAGTAGCTACAAGTGTTGTTGTGTTCGAAGAGGATGGTTGGGTTTAGGCAGGCTGGACAATGGCAGCATATTCACATTCCAAGCTGATAGCCAACTATGCGAAAGCCTAATTAACAAACATTTCGCGAATTCCAGCCGTCGTAGAGGATTTGACGAGTAGGACGACGACTACAACAACGACCAAACGAGCACCAATACCGACGACGACGGCAACCACTAGACGATCAGCAGTTACGACAACTACGACGACCAGACGACCACATACCGGCAGAAGAAAATCAGTACCACCCGTTGGTAAGTTATTGTTACATTTTTATCTCCACACCAGAATAAACTCTTTAACTCAACCCTCAGATCTTTTATAATCATCTAAATGTGTTAACACACATGTAGATTATAATTCTGAGGCACGAACTGATAAGAAAGGCCTTGTGTAGATTTCACCACTCAACGTATTCGTTCACTGAAGCGGCAGATATGAAACAGCTTACCCATTTATTTCACCATTGTTTTCTGAACGTAGGTCACGTGGCTCATCGTGTTGGGTAAACATGCGTCGTATGTATATTGTCTAGGAACTGAGACGAACTGCGATTTTGCATTACTTTTCGGGCGGCAAGTTAGGCGCATAACGGTTAACGCGGCAGTAGTTCGCAAAGCGATTATGAGGGAAAAATATTTTGATCTCCATGAGCGTTACTGAGACTAACTTTGCCCGTTTTGGTTCAAGGTTAAGGTTTCGACAACGGTTAAAATTGGCGTTTATCGGGTTATTATTGGGAATTGGGTTGCCAAGTTAAGGCCATAGTTAAGATTTAGGGTTGTCTTGGTTACGGTTTTTGGTTCTTGGGTTAAGCTTTCGGTTACGACCGAATTATGCTTAAATGTCTATGAGACAGAAATTTCCCACTGCAGGCATAACCATAGTTGGGATTAGGTTAGTAGCAAACTGCAGTCCACCCCAGCGGGTTAGCTGCCACAACCTTGTGGGACTCTTCTTGTGGGCTGGCATAACGACCCACACTAGGAATTTCATATGTTTCCGTTTCTACGCCGCACTCCATGAGACCCAGACGCCCTACTCCCTGACGCAAACAAGTCCCTTCTTCCACGTGAGTGTTGATAGGGCAGTTTCAGACTGTTTCTCCCCATCAAACCCGCACACTTCCAACAAACTCCTGCCCACTTTGCAGATTACGGTGCATTGAGAGCTGGCTTCTGCATGCCTGTTCATGCAGCAGAATATGTCTCGCGAGTTCAGATGAAAGCGCTCACGCCTGGATAGCCTCTGATGTCCTACAGGATCGCACTCATTTATCCTCCCTTTCCAAAGTCTTTGCACACTCGTCCTAACGGTCTTCTGTGAGCCGGCATCTGTACGTACATTTCACGCGCTGTGTGCACACCTCGCCTGTTAAATTCCTTCCTGCTGGGCGGCTGGGAGGAGAATATCCCAGAGCGTGGAAGATTTGCTAAGACGTTGTAAGCGGAATCACCTCATTCACTCGCGTGCACATAACCTGAAACTGGTTGGACGACGTAGGCCGATAATGCAAAATGCCTACGGGGATGAAAGTATAGGTCGAGTGGGCCATTTAGATTTAACCCGTCGGGGTAAGAGCTGCCCAACGCACCCTTAAGCATTTGCGTCATCCGATGAACGGATAAGCAACCATAGCGTAAACACACGGAAAGAAGTCGATGTGCGATACTTTCGATGGGGTATCACTTTGCGACAATGTCCAATGCAGCAAAGGTTTCACAGCTTATATGAAATGAAAGTGCTTCGCCATTCCCTTCGGTGATGCGAAAAGAAGAAATTAGCCCAGATGCATTAATTCACCTTTTTGGCTCAGTATAGGAGACCGTGAACATCTCAAGGGGTGCATTAACTTCGACAGACGCACTTTTCGATGCCGGTGATTTTCAGTGTGATTTACGCGTCCTCCAATGCTCTGTTCCTGAGATGATGGGTATTATCTAGATACGTGCATCCTTTCTGCAGTCAGGCTTTCAAGCAGGGACTATGCGCATACATATTTGCGATGTGATGAGGGAAGTAGTAATTCAGCTCAGTCGGATCATATGAATTTGAAGGAAAATGAAAAGTCATGAGGTTTACTCATGAGGTTAGGCTCACGCAAGCTGAAACAACTAGCCTCATTCTTTCGACATTTTTACCCATGACCGCAATTCCTACACAAACAACAACATGCGAAATGTACATTTGGGCAAATTTATAACTGAAACAACAAAATGAACGTTAACATCAGGGGTATTTTTAAGTGGCAACAATTTTAAGAATTTAAATCTACTTAATAGGACTTCGAAACAGTTGCGGATAGCTTTAGGAATCCAAAATAGCTGAACGCTCATGATCTTGAATTATTTATAATGTAAACATGACTACAAGTACTGAAAAATGTGCGCATTAGTTATCATTCTTATCTCAAGCCCCACCACCGGTAAAGTAACAACTCAATCTATTTGCACAACTAGCGCGAGTATCAAAATATCACTACCGCTTTGCTGACGAATGTTAAATGTGATATTTATGAAGTGAAGTAATGCAATTACAGTACTCCCATATTTCTTTATTTGGGCCTTTAACGTGACAGCACATGGATGCATATTACGAACATGCATAGATGTGTAGGGAGGAGATGCAAACGATTATTCGAATATAAAAAAATGCCATGTTTATAAGCCTTCAAACCATGCAGTCTATGGCACCCAGGAACACCTAACAACTTTGTGTCTTGATATATTTCCCTTTTAGATTACAACTACTATTGTAAGTAAAACTTATTTTGAAATTTATGCCCTATTAAATGTTGTTCAATACTCAACTTGATAAACACTAGACAAAGATACACGTGAAGCGTCATCAGGAATAAAAGTCAATGCTCATTGCCGAAAAGGATTGCCTATTTGGTGTTGCAATAGTGATGGACAGGCAGTGTAATATCACGCTGTTTTGCACAAGAACAAGGGCTGCTTTATCAACACGAAACCACAACTCAGATAGTTATGTTGTTTCACAAATCGCACTTTGACAACTGCTAGCCGTCACCGGCGCCTATCACACAAATCTCCGGCGAAATTTACTGCTCAGATCGTTCCCCGCACGTCCACATGAGACTGCCACTTTGCTTGGGTGAATGTCAATAGTTAGGTTTCTACAGTGTTCTAATGTGTGGAATCAGTAGCCATCCGTGCCGAATCTTATGTCACAGATGCACCTGCAGCAGACAAGCGCCAGAAGCTTTTCATACGCGATTGATGGTAATAAGGCATTTTACACTAGCCCTTAATCTTTACCCCTAAACCTAACCGGCAGCCCTAACTCTAACACATAAAACTAATCCCTAGCCATAACCACGACCCCTAATCCCGATCAGTAGCCCTAATCCTTAAACCGAACCCCTTAAATCTAGTCCCTAACAGTAACCCCTAACCATAATCCTTACCCCAAATCCTAACAGATGTGGCTAAGAAAGAAGATTTTACCGCCATCCGTTTTACCTGCATACGAAGGTGGTACTTTCAAATTCCTTATACATGGTTAATAAGGCTTTGTGAACTCGCCTATAAGTCTTCTCATTGACTTTTTCTTTCAGATGACGATTCTGATAGTAAGTACATACTCACAGACCTAATTTCTTATAAACGTATATATATACCGAAAGTGCCTGTTGTTACTACAAGGCTGCGATATGCGCAATTCTTTTATTAGACTGTTTCGTCAACACTTGACAACCAAACGCATGAAATGTTGGCCGAAATTCTTAAATGTGCATTAGTTGGGAGAACTTATTGATGAGGCTGTGACGTACTGATGGGCATTCCACGCAAGCTCAATTGATTTCGCATAAGACAAATTGCCTGCAAGAGGGAGAGCCACTTCACAGTCCCTTAAAAGGTAACAATCACGAAATATGAACATTCAAGTAGCGCGTGTTTGGTCATCTCCTTGTGACTTCATTAAACAGTCGATTCTCATGTGCGGAGGGAAGGCACATTCATTTTAAAACTCATTTTGCAGTTGTCTTCGTATTATTCGCATGTTATGCGCGTTTGCACCCAGCGGTCTGAGGGCTATTTCCGGTATTGCAGAAGCATGCTCTTCCTTATCAACTTCCGCCAATTAGGCGTTATTTTCTCAGCATGCCGTTCATATACTTCTTTGATTATTCTTTCTCGACGGGCACAGTTAAGAGGAATATTTTCTGGTTCTTGAGCCAGTGTTTTATCTCAAAGTCGCATGTGCGTCCCGCACATACCGCAGGTGTGCTAACTTAAAAAAAGATTAAGCGAAATTCAAAAATGTGTTTTCGTTTGGGAAAGACTACTTAGGTTGGGTTGTAAAATTAATCACCGCGCATTATAATTCTATGATAATTCAGGTACCATGGGATGCCAACTTTCGACCGAACTATTTTCCGGCCGTATGCAAAAAGCGAACTATGTAGAAAATGACTAATTACGTGGCATGAATTCTTCTCATTGCTTTTTGATGCCATTTAAGACTCAATTATATTCCATGGAAAAAATAAATACACTTTCGTTAGAAAATTTCAATTTTGTACTCAAAAGAAGGTTATAATTTGCTGTTTTAAAACCTTTCGAGTTCTCGTGTAGTTCTGAACATGACCTGCCGTTACACCTGCCTTTAGGGTTTCCAGACTACAAACCGTATATTTTCGGCGTACTAAAGGCCATATATTTGTCTACGACATTAAGACGGGACCATATGGCGTTCGTAAAATATAACAGTGGATTATAGCTTTATTGTACTCTTTACAGGCCGCATTAATAAATGTTGAGAAGTGATGTTTTATGACCAGGCACTTCATAGTATTAAAAAAATCCCACAATAAGAAATTTTTTTAAAACTGGATCACATTCCATCCTTGGTTATAAAATAAGAAGTTATAATTTTCTACCAAACGAGTGGGAATCAAATAGTTTAATGTATGTTTTCCATGAAATATAACTGAACTTTTAAGAGCATCGAAAGACAATGATAAAAATCCATGCAACATAAGTAGTCACTTTTTACAGAGTGTGCTTTTGCATGCAACCTAAAAACGTTCCGTCGAATGATGGCATCCTAAGATAACTGCATAATTATGCCGCATGGTGATGGATTTGTCGAACATACCTAGGTAGTATTTCGAACCGAAAACGCATTTCAGAAGTTCGGCTAATATTTCATGAGTTAGCATTTCTACCCTGCATTGTGTCCGCCATTCGTCCGCCAGGAAATTACTTTCCTATCTGTAGGCATTCACTCAAAAGGCAATTGCTCACACATCGCAAATCCTGCGATGCATTTGTAACGACCCACATGGTAGGAGAGCTGGGCTAACGAGAGTGCACTTATAGCTTGCCAATACCATTGACTTACTGTGCCATGCCTATGTGCGCTCGTACCTCTTAAATTGTATATCCATCCTAAACATATTTAAGAGTATGCGCCCTCTTGAGCGACAAAACAATCTCTATTGGTTAACGGACATCCCACACATGCATGTGTCCGATAAAATGGACGATGGAAGGAGACATAAAACGGGTTAACCATAATCTGTCACTGAACACGTTTCATCACACTACAATATTCAAACGGTCAGTAATATCCTCGTATTACTGGCAACAAAACCAGGCTAGGAAGGTGTTTGCGTAATTTTGACTTGAATATCAGTAACTTAGGCGATGACCAAATTTTAGGCAGAAGAATATTCCAAAGGAAGGCATATTTGGAAGCAAAGGAGAGGGAGCACCTAGATGTAGTGCAAAGAGGCGGTGGCGAAATCACCATGGAGGAGTTGCGCGTGGCATAAGACCGATCTCTCGGAGTGAGAGTGCCAATGACCGCAAGATGGCAGCTAGAAGACGAGATGCGATCACTGGAACAAGAAATGTATTAGCCCGACAATATTGGCAATAAATTTCTTAAGCTAGTGATCGCACCTCGTCTTCTGAACTTCTACCTGGAACTCGCCTGTTTGCTTCTATCACCAATCTTTTTGGACGCGAAGTGCTCCGATCGGCTCGACGGTGGGAAACCTTTGCCCTTCTAGAGTCGTCTACGAATGCGCAAATTCGATTTCTTCACAGATGTCTCGACAACAATGTGCTGCCGAAGTGTGTTTCATACAAACCTCCGGTCAACACAGAGCTGGCGAGACGCGCAGTACTTCAGCACGGCCGACGAACTGGAGCTAGAGTTGATGCGAAAAAGGGAGCAAAGACCAGCTTCGAGTCCTCTAACCCACAAAAACTTAATGTTCGCCAGCTGACATCTCTGGGTATAGAGAGTAACGTGTGCGAATTGAGAAAACAGTTTCCGCGTGACAACCCTCTGAACCTTTTCGACCTTATAGCGGTCACAGGCATCGATTAAATCAAGGAAGGGAGAGCAGTATTCGAGGACTGGAAGAACAAACATTTGATAAAGTCTTAGCTTCACTTCCGGAAGGAAAAATTATGCGATACGAATCAACATATCTGCGCAGCTTCAGCAGAGATTCTATCTGCATGACGTGATAAACCAAGTGTATTCGTATAACTTAGACCTTGGTCCTTTATAGTGAAGCATTCTGAGAGTGGGTTATTCTGAAAAATTATGGGGTAAGGAAGTTTGACAGGACCAAAACGACATGAAGCGACACTTGGATGATGAGAAATTCATCTGCCATGTTGAATCCCATCTGCTTAAAACTCGTCAATCGGCATGAATTTTTTCAACACAAATGTTTGCGGTGTCCTTAAAATATGAGTAAACGCACTTAAGACCATCGGCATAAACAAAAGTTTGCGAGTATCCGAGTTCAGTCGATGTTACACTGCCTTATGATGTGTTCGTTGGCAAAGCGTAATCCAGAAGCAAACATTCCAAAGACGGTCTAGATGTGAAGACATTAGTAGTGCAGGGGAAGTAGCGTAGCAGCTGGTGTTTCTGTGCTTGAGGACGGTGAGTGTAGGCAGGCTGGAAAATGGCAACATATTCACATTCCAGGCTAGCAGCCAAATATGTAAGGCCTAATTAAAAATCGAACATTTTACGGCTTTTAGCTGTCGTACAGGATTTGACGAGTACGACGACGGCGGCGGCGAACAGACGAGCAATAACAACTACAGCAAAAGTGAACACCACTGGTAAGTTTTCATTATATTTTTACGTCAGTGTTATAGACTAAAAACGCAAACCCTTGTTAACAATATCACTGGTTTAATGTTTTAATGCTGCATGGATTTATAGCTCAAGCTGGTATTCCCGGACTAGTATAAACCCGCCTGCGCATGGAATTTGGTCATGCTAGTAGCAGACATGAGACAGCTATCCCGTTTACTTCAGAATTGTTTTCTAGTTGGATGTGGAGTTGCTTGGTGAATTAACCAAATGCACTTTCTGTTTGGATTTCTTATTAACTGCGACGAAAGTCCATGTTGTTGTACGTTTCGAACCGTAAATGCGGCTCTTCATGAAGGCTAGGAAAATTACCAGTACTTGGAATTCCATATGTTTCTGTTTCTACGCAGCAGTACATGTGGCCAAGACGACCTACCTCCTGCCGCTGGCAAGTATCTCTCTCCACCTGAAGATAAATCTCCTCTGCGAGTAAACTGGGTGCATTCAGGCACCTTAGAGCCATCGAATTAGTACACTTACAACTAACTAACGCCCAGTGTGCATGTTCCGCTGCATCGAAAGTTGGCTTCTGCATGCTTTCTCATGCGGCATGATATGACTTGCGAGTTGAGATGAAAGTGCTCACACCTGGACAGCGTGTGACGTCACATTTGATTTTTCCCTCCCAAAGTCCTTGCATTCTCATGCTAACGGTTTTATGCGAACCGCAGTTGAGTGATCGGAATCTGTGCGGGCATTTCACGCGTTGCTTTTATGTGCTTGGCGAATTTATCGGTATGTAGAATTTCATGTTTTCGTTACAAAGGCAGGGTAAAGGATCCCAGTTAACTGCCTGTAGACTGTAAATCGTGTGCTGATGTGTGTGCTTCCGAAATTTATTTAACTACTGAAAACTGGCATATGTACACGTGAGCGGAGAAACAAAAAACGGAGATCAGTTGAACGTGAGTTGAAGAATAACGGAGATGTCTGCCGTGGGATAGTTCCAGTAGTTCGCTGACCAGACACTCTTTTTAAATGGAACGCTATGGAATATCCAGCCGGATACCGTACATACATTCATCATTTCACTCCAGAGTATCATTTTGGCGCCGACTGTCTTCTTTGTTTACCTGCATTCCGCTATCTTACTGTCCGGATCGCTGTCCCACCCGTGAAATCCCGCATTTCCAGCAATCCTGTTTGACACGATTCAACGTATGCCGACAGCTAATTAGGGTCCATTATCCTATGGGTGTCGTTTTCCTTTTTATGGGGCAGTCCATGTGACCGAGAGAGTCTGGACGTTGAACTAATAATTTCTTTCCCTTTCTCTAGAATATGTACTTTCCTTAAGATAATTAGGCCTCCTCATATTTCTGGTTTGAAAGAAACTTCCACGCATATTTACCCAGCTAATCACGCTTGGAGAGACCTTGTTTTAATATTTCGTCTTTATATTTTGTCGGTCATCCGCCAACGAGAGGGGGGAGCATCGCGTCATTAACTGTGGACATTCGCCAAAAGCGTGAGCGGCACTTATGTCAATAAATTTTCCGGTAAATTTACAAGTACTGGACCCTTCTGCTTACCACATCCATCTCATCATGTTGGACGAATGAGCGTCCTACACGGAAAAAAGGAACTGAGAAGCACACTTCCCACTTACGTGAAATGTGCCGCTGTTGTGAGATTTTGGAATGGTGTGTACACACGATGCACATGTTGGTTAAATAATGTCTGGAGATGTAATCCTGTATGTGGTGATTTTTCGCACGTTTTCGTTAAGGCGCATATTATCTAGAAGGTCTATGCGATTTTGAAAGTGCGTGGACACCATGGTCACTTGAATTGAATGAGGTACATGTATATTACCGCTATCGGCACCGAATCGCTAACTTCTGTGCGAATAATTCACAAATGCCTTACCAGACCGATGCGCGATCTACATCTGCGGCAAGGTGAAGGCAAGTTACATTTGGGTGGCGAAGCTGTGTTTATGCTGGTGTGTGGGAGTTGCAAGTGATCGATATGGCGGCGCTGGCGGATGTGCAGAGTGTGCTTGTAGTGTCGATATTGTAGTGAACTCCGCTTTTGTGGAAGCGCATATGACCGTATAGGTCCATTCGAGTGCATATGCGCCTACTATGCGGGCAGTGCAGGCAGGTGTGTATCGAGACTCGGGTCACTGGTAGACGGGTACTTGGACACTGAATTCTCAAGTGACCGATCAGGCCGATGTATGAGGTGAATGTGCGACTACAATGTGGGTAGGCTGGAATTGAGTTCGTATTGCTGGTGATAGGATCCGTGGTATTGAAGGTAGTAGTTGACGGGACGTCCGGTGTCGTCTCATTGGCTGAGCTGGTAAGAAAATTACTGGTATCAGTGGGTCTGCCGGATCTGGTCACCATAATCGACGCGAGGATTTGAATGGGAAGGATGGCGCCGCTGTTTGAGAACGACAGACCATCTGCTGTGTGATCATTAGCACTTTGTTTCGGTTCTCGCCGTGGAATTTGAGACAGTAGTAACATTAGTTTTGTTCGGGAAAGTAGACTTTGGGGGTTGCCCGGTTGTTTTTGCACTGCGCCCGAAGGTTTCCTACCAAGCCGATTCGCGTGTACAATGTGCGTTGCCAGAAAGGGTGTTGGGGGAGCAGTTGGCTGTTGGCGTTGCGTACCCGAGGATTTTGTGAATTTCGAACTGCTTTTTTGGTTTTGACAGCAGCGGTCCGATTTAATTCGTAGATTACTGCGCAAGTCTTCCCTGTTTTCCAAGCCGGTCTGTCTTGCGCGAGGTCCTCTCATATCTCAAGGTCGCCATGCGGTCGCCGCAGACAATTCCCAGAGTTCCCATCATTAGCACTTCGAGTATGGATGCCAGGCATGCTCTAGCAACATGTGGACTTTAGAATACACTGAAGAGTTTTACCCTATATATCTGTCCGTCGATTAGCTGAACGTCATATCATGTTGTTTTTGACCATTCAACTAGACTTACAATCCCTTTTGTATTTAAGATTCCTCAGGAGACAACACGGGCGTAGCGACTTCAAAGAGTAAGTTAACATTCGTAGTTTATTGAACAAGTGACAAATGCTCCCTCAAGTTGATGACTGATGGCACAAACAGGAGCATTAAATAAGAACTCTGACAAGGATTTCTCCGCTTTTGTGCCTGCGTGTCGTCACCGTGTGTGTTGTGGCTCATCGATCATTCGACGCGCTCAGACATATGATTCATGCAAATACATTGTTGGAGACATACAACCACCTGTCTTGGAAGAGAGTCGCAGTTAAGACCCCCTGTGCGTCTCATGAGGACGACATTTATTAAGGCATTAAAGCGTACAATATGTATATGTGATTTTGCATTAGAATTATGCTACAGTCGCCGACGAAAGAGTGATGTAAACCAAATCGGTTATCTTTTCGCTTGAAAATTTGGCATTATGCTCAACGCTATCGTTGGAAATTCAACTATTCAATTCACTTCAGATGCAGCTATATGTTGTCAATGTTTCTTGCATTCTTACAAAATCGACGATTACCGTGAATATGAAGCCAATAACTAGCCTCTGTGCTTTAACTCCAGACTTGAGATAATAGTTTTGTGGAAGCTCATAGTTCGGGCTTTTAAAATTTGTTCTCATGGGTGTCGCGACTATTGGAGCAGACGGAAATCCATAATAATTAGATGAAGTTCTTTCGTCGAAAAATGCAAAGTCTTACCATTCAAATTAACGCTTACGTTATTTCGGTCCCTTTAGGTCCGATGGTATTCACAGTGGGTAAGCAACACTTTGTGTGATTGACGTGTCAAAATGTCCAAAAGCGTGCGTTATGTCAGTATCAGCAAACCATGGCACTCGTAGCCGAAAATGCGCTGACAGGTTCCTGATATCCCGTTCCCTGTCCGCAGATGCGCTTGCGATCCCGATGGGTATACAAGTGATGGGCGTGTCTGTCCAATCATCATCGTTCTTCTGACCACTGCTGGAGTGGTGTTGTTGGTCAAATACCTGGTCATTTGCTGTGTGGACCAGGGGTGTGGAGTGGTTCTGCCAAGGTGCCACTCGACCGTGCCATCCGCATGTGCCCTCCCCACCTCCGGTTCTTCTGACTCTGTCTTGACACCGGGTCCAGGTTTGGAGTGCGCAAAAGAGAGTGCTGTAGATGTTGCGCAAGTCTACTATCACTCTAAATTAGTTCACGCACAAGTCGTCGTGTTTGTTACACCCTAGTGTGTAGCATGCGGTGGACACCGTTAGCAACGACGATAGAACTGTGGTGTGAGCGAAGTCCCTGCCAACATATGGCCCCTTCATATGGGGGGGAGGCTGGGATGGTGCCAGAACCCCTCTGGATTGAAGCGTTTTCAAGTTTTTTTTGCATCGAACTTTATGTTTCAAAAGCACCACTCATTGTACCTCCTTTGGTATTAAAAGGAGCTAATTTGTAAAAAGTGGTTTATAAATCATGGACAAGCACTCGTTTACGCGCACAGGTCGCAGATAATATTTTGCGTCAGCCAATGCTGTTTTCATGCTCTTGATAACTGTCATAGTTAATTTATGTATCCTGTGTTACTTATTTTGGTATTGACTCATCAACCAGTTCAAGTAGTCGACTTCTATGTCTATGTATGTACTATTTGGCATTGATTTTCATAGTCCACTTATGCAAATTGTTTATCGTTTTTACCAAATATCCAAAGCAATTATGCAGCATAATTACTGTGGCTATCACCGAATCACCATATGCAGGCAAATTAAGCGGCAGATGAAGGCATCTTATGAGGCTACGGAAAGGCCCGAGTCTGAGGTTCCCTCAACGTCAACATCAGTTGGCAATCAATCCCCCGAACGAGAAATGCCTGTTCTGAGCTCTGAAACTTCTGCCGGCAGGTATGATGTGTGTGCGCCTCAGGGGACTCATCATACAAGTCGATATTTTAAAGGAGTGCCAAAATTGGGCGGAAATCTGGCGTCCTCTGCGCATTTTTTTCGCTGGTGGGGTCAGGCGGGACTGGTGCTGGTAGAATTAATTATAGGTTGACCAGGCCCAACGGCTGGTTGGTCTCCCCACAAAATGGCCATTTGATGCTAATAAACTTGATCTTCTGCTGTTCCCGCGTCCCTGTGAATTTTATTTCGCTGTTGGGCCCAGGCGGGGCTGTCCCGTAGAATGCTCCGTCACAGCCTCTTCCGCAGCCCCGCCAAGCCCCTTTACAGCCCCCTCTAGCCCCGCCATTTGGGGGGGGGGTTGCGGGGCTGGTGCTGGCAGGGGTATGACCCTTGGTGGGCTTCATTGGCACTTCCTTACATATACGCGAAACTTGACCTCTTAACCATATTCAAGGCGATTGGTTAGAGTTGTTCCTGGAAGACTTTCCTTGCGTCAATGCTAATTGGAATTAACGGCTAAGCTTACACTTCGCAACTAAACTCACCGACAGCCCCTTTCATGTGGGTTCTCAAAAGTAGACATTCCTTCTCTAATGCAGGACTGTTAATCTCTTTCATCTTGTCTGAAAGGACCACATTCATTATAGCAGAATCTGTACCATGCTCGCAACTTTCCTAAAACTTTCCTTTGTCTTATTTGATCTTGCGTTTTTTACCAAATATCTATCCCAATGTTTTAGCATTGTCGTCAATCGTTGCGTTCCGTCTCGTTGGAATGCTTTGACGGTAAATGAAATGAGTGCTAGCAAATAAATAATCTTGGTGAACAAGTCTGTTCTCCTTTGCCTTTAAGGATGCACCAAATGACACGGGTCGGTTACAGGGCACAGACTGGCATAGAATTCGGTCGTGACTGATTGTTCTAGTCCACTTCTAATGGACACTTATACAAAACCGAGTATCCTCATTTTTGTTCGTCTTTAGTGAGGCCTCGTGGGGTACAGCCGCGCAGTCGAACCTAACATCGCCGGAGCTTCCATTAAACAAATTGCCAAATTCTTACTCAGTGGGGCCAGACTAGATGTTCGTTTGCACTGTTATTTTTCGACCTATTCCCACGCACACCCGATAGGCACATATGATGACCGGTTGTGTATAACTCGTTACTATTTATTGAAAATTAGTTCGGATTTATGCAGTATATATTTGGGAGGTAGGGAGGGACTTCAAATCCCCCACAGGCACACGGTTGGAAAGCAGACACATGTCTGCATAGCAACCTGCATACCTTATATTACTCACTGATGTCGAGGAAATTAATGGCCACCAAATACGCCCTCGTCAAATCTTTATGCGAATGTCTTCACCAAAACAACCGAATGCCGCAGTCCGTCCCGTTATTCAACTTGAGAATAAACTAATCTGCACTTCAATGTTGGTGTATATGGTCTTCGAAATTTATTAGATGTCTTAAACATGGGTCGTTTGTACTTTTCAGCCTCAATTTCCTGAAGGTGAAACCCCATATGGCGGGCGGAAACAGACTATAAAGAGATTAAGTATATTTACAGAACCATCGCGGATCGGTGTCGTCTATCACAGATTATTACTTGGTCGACACCGACTGTTACTGGTTTTTATTCGTCCTCAGTGTGGTTCCAGGGGACTTAACAGCGCAATCGGAATTTCGACCAAATGGGATTCTAAATAATTAACAACGAGTTGGTGTTATTTATTGACGGCAAAATTATGGTTCATATGCAAAGCTTCTGTGAAGCGTATACCCACGCACACTTAGAGGACTGTTATAGACAGCGGGAGCGGTGTGGATTTGCGGCCTAACGTGAAAGAATGACATGACCATGCTCTTCACGACTGGCAAGCCACAGGTCGGGATACTCCAGGGCACTCAAGGTCCCATAATAAATAAGGAGCCGTTTAGCGAGTTGGGAACTGTGAGTTCGAGGGCTGTAGAAATAAAGTTGTTGTCCCCAGAACACGCTTTCCTACTCTTCCGTCTACTCGTTGGTAGACGACAGGAAACGTCCAGTTTTGGCTTTCATTTGATTTGATGCAATCTATCTAGAACTGCCGGAGCAGGTTCGCGCTTTAATATGGTTTACATAAGAGCGCCCCAAACTCTCCAGCAGTCTACGGTTTCATGAGCTGAGTTTTGGAAATCATGACACGTCATCAGTTAATGTTCTTCTACGTACCAGCGCATTTAGGGGTTTTTTTACAAATGACTAAGTAAAGCAGGGCAGAAGCAGCGCCAAATGCGAGGCAACGGAAGAGCTAACCAATGAAGACCATGGGAAGGACATGCCAGCTGTGATTGGTGACCAAGCCCAACCAAACCTGACCGTCCGCGGACAAGACCGATCAGAGGGTAGTCGCGGCAGGCATTTATACCAAATTGGTACAGAAACTAAGACCGTTAATTACCAAACAACTGCAAGCGAACGGGTGAATGGTGAAGATAAGAACACAACCCATGTATCAGAAGAACATATAGAGGAATCGAACGCGAAGTGGTCTGCTATGAAACGGAGTTGTTTGCAGTCTGTGGGTGTCAACTAAGCCTCCCAGAATGTTGAAATTAACATTTTGCCGCTGAAAATTGTTAATAAGTATTTTGCTGCCTGAATGGGCCTAGGAATACATGACAACGGAAACTGAGACCTCGAAAAAGTAAGACAATCGTGCGAAAATGTAATAAAATGAGTCATTGATTCACCCGAAGTTGTGCAGTACTTATTGTCTGAATGACGACGAGCGTAGACTCGTCATCACCTAGTTTCACTGGATACAATGTTCGATGGGTGCGTCAGTACGTCAAAGCTTACCACCATGCCACCAGCTGAGGCCTCATTCCACTCGGAACATGCATAACCGGTGGGAAAAACGGTAAGTGTCAAGGGCGGAGGCCAGGAGATTTACTTTCACAGAAAAACATACTAGGACACAGTGATAGGCATCCCCCGTATAACAGGCGGGTTCGGGTTAAGGTTTAAGGTGTTTGAACTTAGGTAGGTTTTGAATTAAGACTAATTGTTGAGTTTATGTTAAATTAAGGGTCAACGTTAGAGTTTTGACAGGACACGAGTAACCCATCCTGGAGTTTAATGCTAGTCCGTGTAGATAAAAAGGTGTTAGCAATGCTCTTATCATACACGCAGACGTATGGAGTTGCTAAGCGGAATCCGGTGTAGCTGTGTCCGGAAATTATTGCAGTTCATTCGGTCTCTGTAGATTGCTCGTTGCTTCTTCCGCCTAACAATTATTGTTGTACATTTCGCACGACATATCCGGCTCCCCGTCTGTTTTCGTCCAGTCCGATCAAACAGCAGTAGACTAGAAAGGGGACGACTGGTCAGAAAACTCACATGAAATATCCAGCAACTTTGCACCAAAAATCTTCGGGAATCTGTGCGAGCTAAGCTCCGCTTCCTATATGCAAGTGCTCAAGGTTTGTTCCAGAAGCTTGATGAGCTGAAAATGTGGATACCAGATACGCAGTCGAATGTCATTTCCATCACAGAGACCCCGTTACAGGCTGAAGTCTTGGATGCCAAAATTGTACTCGATGAATACCAACTTTTTCGCCAAGACAGGCTGCATAAAAGCGATGGGTGATAACGCTCTACGTCAAGAGAGGAATCACCGCGTCAGAACACAAACCTGATTGCTCTATGACTGTGAAGAAATCTGGTTAAAACGAAAGACGTGTGGCGCACTTAATCTGGATTTCCTGACCGTATACAAATCGTCCAATCCAACTCTTCAGAATGACGAGACGATGTTTGGGTTAAATAAATAGATGATGCAAAACCAATAGACACTAAAAACCGGAGACTTCAGCGTCTCGATGGTCGGCCGGAACGATTTATTAGTGAATGGTTTGCGAAATTTCTGTGACTATGGGCTTTTAAAAGTAACGACTGGTCTCCTGTTCAAATGTCAAGTTTCCAACCAGAATGAGTGGCTTGATGGGTAAATTGTCTAGACCTCGTCCTTACAAAAGACCCAATTAGTGCTGGCGAACTTATACCCATAGCACCGTTCGGTAAGTGTGGTCACGTCATGCTGCTTTGGGAATACCACTTATATAGCCAACCAATGGATACGATTGAGCCTCAGCTGAATTTTTGGGGAGGACATTTTGCTGTCATAAGAAGTGAATTATCGATAGCGAGGTGGCATGACGATTTTATCGAATATCTAACTGTTGATTGGAAAGCTCTCTAAGGACACTATGCATCGAAAGTGTACAATAAAAAGAGTCCAAAACGCTAATCGTCCTGCCCGGTTAACGTGACATATAAAGAAAGAAGTAAGTCGGAAGAATAATTTTTGGAGAAGGTATGTAACAACAAAACAACCTTAACATTATGAACAGGTTTGCCGAGAGCGAAACGAGATAAGATCGAAGATCCGTAGGCCGCGGAAGGATAATGAAACCCGAGTTACGAAACGGGCCGTTCATAAGCCAATAGTACTTTTTATTTACATCAGCATCAGATTAAGCAACACAGGGGCGGTACCAGCGTCGAAAGGAGAAAACCATGAGGCTATTATCGGAAATTATGCTACGGCAGAACACCTAAGCTGGTTTTTCGCATTTGTCTTCACCAATGAAACGGTCTTTGACGGGGCTGGATTGCCTACTGTAACAACTGATGAAACAATGGAAAGCATCGACTTCCCAGAAGAAAATGCGAAGAGAGAAATTCTAGCAGTTAAGGAGTATAAGTCTCCGGGTCCGGACCAAATGCCGACAACAGTTCTCAAGGAGCTGGTTTTCAAACTCGCCAGACCACCTGCATATTTTCCCGTTGGCCCTTGACCCAGTCATTCTCCCCTCTGATCGGAAGGTAGCGAATATATATCCCATTCAGGCGGATTTAGAAAAAGTCATAACAATTATAGCCCGGCGAGCCTAACGTGTATTTGTTGCTATGTTATGGAGAGAATAATCAGGAAGCCACTATGAATTTTGTTGAAGAAGAAAATTTCCTTAATATTTCCCAATAAGGCTTACGACGAAATCGCTTCCGTTTAACAGATATGTCCTGTTCAATGGAACAGTGGTCCCGCTCGTTAGAGGGAGAAACAGGAGTCGATGTCGCTTACATCGATTTCAAATAAGCCTTTGATATTTTTCCACACCGCCGATTACCCTACAAAGTCGGATAGTTGGAGATAATGGGTAACCTACTAAACTGATCGGCCGATCGCAGTTTGTGTGCATTAGCAGTGCGAAGTCAACGCCATGGCTAGCTGTGAATGGAGTCTCCAGGGCTCTGTATTCGGACCAGTTCTGTTTTTAATTTATGCCAACGACTTTAAGAATGGGTTGGACTTCAATGGAGTCATGTTTGCCGATGACGGCAAGTTATGGCTGCTAAAGTTTATGCTTGAGAAGTGTAACGCACCGCGACTCAAAATGAGTGGGAAAACAAAGTGGAGGATCACCAATGCCTCCTTGGCGGAAGGAGCCTTTCGAAGGTAACCGAACAGATAGAAAAGTGGAGACTGATGAGCAGTTTAAGGCGTCCCTCCTTTCTAAATTCTATCAGTCCGTCTTCACACGAAAACCTAGTTCTATATTTACCCATCCATCTGTCCGTCAACCAACCTCCCCTCCTAGTTCTATTACCCCTTCTACACCTTTCCTACCCTCATTAACTGATGAACCACTCATTTCATCGACCATAGTTAGGGCGAACTACTCCAACTGAAACCTTCCAAATTGCCTGGTCCAGATAGAATTCCCGCGCTAGCACTTCGTGAACTTGCTGACGAACTGTGCGAACCATTGTCTGCAATAGTCCAAAGGTTATATGAAGAAGACGAGCTCACGGAAGAATGGAAATGCGCACTCATCACTCCGATTCATAAAGAAGGTGTATGACTTGATTGCGGAAATTGTCGTCCCGTCAGTCTTACATGCATCGGGTGTAAAATAATGGAAAGCATTATCAAAAGACATTTGATGCAACGCTTGAAAAAAAGACAAAAATACCGCGTGATGCTCAACATGGCTTTCGTCCGGGACGCTCATGCCTGACGAGTGTCCTTTACTCGCACGGGAAATGGACAAGGGCTACTGGTAAGAGTTATATCCAGTGGGTTTCATATTTTTTGACTTCAAGAAGGTCTTTGATAGTGTCCTACACAGGCTTCTTTTATAGAACTCAAGAAAGAATGTTTAAATAGATCAGAAGTTTCCTGTTCTAAAGAGTACAAAGAGTGGTCGTTAGTAAATCTACCTTCAATGAGCAAAGGTGGAAAATGGTGTCCCACAGGGTTCTGTTTTGGCCCAGTACTCTTCTCGTTCCATGTTACTGACTGCATCAGCGAACTGAATTATGAGGCCCTCATGTTTGTGGACAACAGTGAAGACGAGTGCGATGATGTCGCAAAAAAGCTGCATTTGAACATCGAATAACTGAGTGTTTGGTCAAACAGATGGCTTTTTAAGTTTAACGTGTGCAAATGCGTGGTCTAGCACCTGAATACCGCCCGAAGTGCCTCTACAAAATATCAGTATTATATTAACGGGACGGCGTCAGATTAATAATAATAATCGTATTTAATTCCAGTTTACAGGCATCGTCAAAAAAGCGTTAAACACAAATCCGGCCAGCAGTGAAAAAAAAACTCCTGTCAAAAAGGAACAAAAATAATGTTGATTGTGGTTTTTATAGTCTGGATGGTTCAGACGGAAAAGACTGCTGTCCATGAAATGACGACAGTCAGCAAAGGGAGGGTTAGCATTGCATCGGATATTATCAGTGGCCAACTCTTTTCCTGAAGTCGGGACTGGTCCAAACAGAAGTACCGAAGAATAGCTGTCGTTTTTGGCTAAAGAAATTGTCCCTGGTGATACCGGCCATATAGATCAGAGACCACAAACGCTATCGCTACGATATAGGCGGTCAGCGGATTCAGCATCCAAAATTTGTTGGGGTTTTTCTGCACGCAAAAAGCGAGTAACAGTTCTCTCAAACAAAGTATAATTTTGCAGAGTTTGACATTCTGAATAGCAACTGCGTTTACAGAGAAGAACCGACGATATTTAACGGTACGTGCCAGAGGAAGGAATAAAAAGACTTCACGGCAACTGTCACGTCGGGGGTTGCAAAAGATGTCTTAAAGTAGTGAATGGTTAGACATATGATTGTATAAAAACTTAAATAGTAAAAATAGTCCCTTTTTATCTACTAAACCATAAAGGATCAAGGCCCGTAGTCCGGAAACGTTCTTGGTAAGACAAATGCCGGTGTTTTGAAGTTAAAACTCTCTTGGTAAATAAAATGTCGAACGGATTCCAACTTTTCCGCTCAGCACCACTCATGAGGATAAATAATAATAATTTTTTATTAAAGGCCCGTCGGGATCCCATCAAAGCAAGCAAAAATAAATTTACATAGAATTTTAGACGAGGTAGGCAGTATCTGTACAAAGTGCAACTCATAGTTTCTGAATTAGCGGTCTGTTGAGAAAAATGACTAGCGAGAGGTGAAAAAACTCCACTTAAAAATTTAAAAATGATTAGACTAATTTTACAGGAGAAAAAAACCCTCGTAAGAAAATAATAACAGAAGAATGCGGGCAGGCCTGATTTGCATGTAGCGGTATGTAGCGGATTATAATCGGACATCGTCAGGTCAGAAATAAAAACGAACAGTATTCCAGGCCAGGTCGAACGTACGTGTCATAAAGGCGCATTCTAATGTCCCCAGTTTTAACGTTTCGGAGGATAAACCCGGTCGTTCTACGTGCCTTGGTGTAGGCTATCGGGGCACAGTGCTCCGAAAGATAAGAATTCTTGGAGTACGATACACCCAGAACCTTTACAGCTCCAGACAAATTTATTTCGTGACCGTCAATACATAGTTCAGGTTGGTAGTCCTCGCCAACCGCAATGACTGAGCACTTATGTCAAGAAAGAGAAGGGCGCCATGTGCGGCACCACTGGGCAAAGGCTTGGAGGTCACTATATAGGAGTCAAGCACGATGTCACGCTCTGCCGGCTTGTACCTGTATGCAACCTTCAGATCATCGGCATACATGAAGGGCATACCATTCTGAAATAAATATGGTACATCGTTAACAAGAAGGCAAAATAATAGCGGGCCGAGTACACCATCCTGAATGACTCCACTCCTCACACATGTGAGGTTGTATATAGCACTGGAAATCTTAACTCGCTGTGTACCAGAGCCAGGTAAAAAGATATAAAATTCAAAAGTGTGCCACCTATTCCGAAAGTGGACAGTTTCAAGAGAAGAAGAGCACGGTCTACATGAGGAAAAGTCCAACTTAAATCGAAATAGACTGTGCAAAGTGCAAATCCGTTGTCCCTAGATTGGAGAACATGTTCAAAGGAAAAGAGCTGACAGTTGTCACAAGACCGAGGTTTGAGTAATCCATGCTGTGCAGCGTTCAGTAGGTTATTCTCTGTTTAGTTATACATCATCTTATCTTTGATCAATGTCTCTAAGATTTTCGAAACTGGGGGAGTGTGTTTATTGGCCGAAAGTCACTAAACGACGTAGATTGGCCATGCTTGTGAATGAGCAAAATATGTGATCCCGCCCACAAGGTAGGATATATTTCACTTTCAAGAGCGAGATTAAATAAATTGCATAAGAGGAATGGGAAAATTGCATTTGCATCCGCTTTTAGAATGCCAACTGAGACACCGTCGGGTCCAGGACTATGAGATTGACGAAGACGTCGAATGGTTACAGTCACATCCCACAGAGTAAAAGTTATAGTTTATAGAACTGCCTCGGTCAGTGCCTGGATGGTCGGCTGCGGAGTGGTCGAGTTTTTAATAAACGTTTTGGACAGGAAAACAATGAGACTATAGAAACCATTGAACATGTAGAAAGACACTGAGATCTAGGTGTATTGACGACCATAAATATACTGCCATCAGAACATTGCAGGAAGATGGTCCGGAAGGCAACTAGTAATTTCCACTGGATCAGACTTGCATTTAAAATATTCCCACCCGAACTCTTCGAAAGACTATTGGCGTCTTCGTAAGACCACATCTGGAGCATGGAATGCCAGCGACTTCACAGTGAATGAGGAAGGATATTGACTTACTTGAACAGGTGAAACGCAAAGCAACGAAGATAGTCGACGGTCCAAAGCATGTCTTACGAGGGGAGGCTAAATGTGGGTGGCTCATTCTCTCTATCCTATAGGCAACTAAACTGCTCTATACTCTGAACATTCCGGATTGTCCACGGGCAAGGTTGCTCCATAAGAACAAATAACATTTTTGATTTTGCTCGTGCACACCAATTACGCGGTCTTCCCTACAAAGTCAAGAGTGGGAATTTTTCATTCAGCCAGCGGGTTATCCGACCACGGAACTTGCTGCCAAGTGAGGTCGTGACGGCACCCACAATTCGCCAGTTTAGAAGAAAGCTTGCTTACCTGATTTTCGACAGAAAAACGTCGTTTGCACAGCTAGCTCTGTAAAACACTTTGTCCTATAAAATCTTCACGTACTGAATTTCCGTGAACAAATGCGCTTCCTTATCAGTGCGGTTGTACTGCGATCCGATCACATTGTAAATCTTTGCAAATGTATTTTAAGTGTGACTCTGCGAAAACCTTGCTCATAAATAGGGTCTTCCTAGGTCCTGCCTTTAAACCCTTGAATATTTACATACACAGACCTTGGGATCAATATTTTGTCGTCTCTTAAACCCTCCTCTCAATGCGTTAGGACAGTCAAAATGGCAATCCGTGTCCTTTTCGCCATTAAACGAACCTTCGTAGATATCAACAAATAGTTATTTGAAAAAGAATACGGAACGTTTATTCGTTAGCAGTTGGAATGTGGAATCCAGCCGTGGCTTCCATGGCTGATAAAAGACTCTATGTTTTTAGAAAGTCAGCAGAGGAGGGCGACCAAATTGTCAAAGGCCTCTAGACTTTAAAAACTGCAGACTTGGTGAGCTTAGCCTATTTCCTCTAGGGTATAGGCAAATCTGACGAAATCTCATGCAGACGTAACGAATTGTAAGGAGCCAGGATTGTGTCCTGCATTTCCATGATTTCATTTAATGCGGTTCTCCGATCACTTCGTTAATAGGAGAATGAGTAGGGAAGCACACTGGAGTCGGTCTTCATAGGAATCTGAACTAAACCGAGCCAGACTCTTAGTTAAGTTCTGAATAGCAAGTCCGAACGAGCCTCTATGAAGGAGGAGGATATCGCGACAATGTGATTTGCGAAAACGAAGGCTGATTGAGCATTCATCGTGCAGAGGTGGACGATCGAAATATCAAACCCCAGAGAAACGAGCCAATTCTAATCAAATTCAAGTAACCATCCCTTCTCTCATTTTGTGGTGGGGTACCCGGTTGAGATTGTCAGAATCGACCGTCATATTCAACAGTGACAACTGTGGGATTATCAGCAGTAGTGTCGACGGCGCCAAAAGTATTAATAATGACACTATTCGTGACAGTATTATTACTAGCTGTATTATCAAGAGTGGCACTACTAACGGGAGTAAGGGCAGTAGTAATGTCATCGGCAACATCGGTAGTAGTAGTAGTAGTAGTAATGATGATGATGATGATGAGGAGGAGGAGGAGGGATAGGAGGAGCAGGAGTAGCAGGAGGAGGGTGATGATGATGATGATGATGATGATGATGATGATGATGATGATGATGATGATGATGATGATGATGATGATGATGATGATGATGATGATGATGATGATGATGATGATGATGATGATGATGATGATGATGATGATGATGATGATGATGATGATGATGATGATGATGATGATGATGATGATGATGATGATGATGATGATGATGATGATGATGATGATGATGATGATGATGATGATGATGATGATGATGATTGAAAAAGGTTAATTCATATTGACCCAACTGTGAAAGGTTGATTCAACATTAAAAACACGGTGAACTGATGATAGGTGCTCTCTTATCTTAAATTGTAGTTAAAATTTGTTGAACAGAAATAAATGGAAACCGATCAGTCCAGGGACTTCACTACGTACTGGAACCGGACGGTTCCTGTCCGGGAAGAAAGGATCGAGCCCTTGTGCCAAATGCACCCAGTGCATAAGAAGGAAAAACATACTTGCCGTCAGACTCGGACGCCAGGCCTACTGAGTTAACAGCTTCCTGTGAGCATGCAGGTAACTTTTGACTCGTTTTGTGAAACTGGCCTCAAATTCGCTTGTGTGCACGTGCTATTAAATATCGTCGGTTCTTTTCTGTAAATGCAATTATTATTTGGAATGAACTACACATGAGTGTGAAAAATCTGCAAAATTATCCTTTATTTAAGAGAACTATTACTCGATTTTTGCATTCAGGAAAGCTCCCACAAATTTTGGGTGCTGAATCCACTGATTGACTCTACCGTAGCGATGGCGTTTATGGTCTCTGAACACTATGGCCGGTTTCACCATGGACAATTTCGTTGACCAGCAGCGACAGCTGTCCCTCAAAGCCTCTACTTTGACTATCCCCAACTTCATGAAAGGAACTGACGTCCGATAGTCTCCGATACCGTGCAATCCCCCCTCCCTCCCACCCTTCTTGACGGTCGAAAGTCTGCCGCCAGCAGTTTTTTTCTCCTGAACCCTCCAAACCATGAAAACCACCATCAACTATATTTTTATTCCTTTACCTCAGGAAATTTTTAACTGCTGGTCGGATTTGTGTTTAACGTTTCCTTTGACAATGCATGCAAACTGGCATCAAATAAAATTATCATTGAAAAGGAAAGAGGTTCTTCGGAAAAAATCGAGTTGTACTCGTGAATTTTCGAATTGGTGACACCAACCCGTCGTCAGACGAAATGAAGAGAAACGAGAGAGTGAGACAGTCACACTAGACTTGTAGACGAGACAGGAAAAACATTGACGGGCGAAACATTAGCGTGTGAGGAGGGATGCGGGTAGGGAGTCATGCTGGGTTCTGGGCCGGGAGGGCAGGAAGGGGGGGAACCGTTACGGCTCCCCGTGTTGGAGGGGAGGGAGAATGAAAGGTTGGCAGAACTGCGGGCGCCTACCAGTCAACTGCCAACCTACCATTCGCCCTCCCCTCCAACACGGGGAGCCGTGACGGTTCCCCCCCTTCCTGCCCTCCCGGCCCAGAACCCAGCATGACTCCCTACCCGCATCCCTCCTCGCACGCTTTTGGCAGTTCGCGTCTCCTCGCCCTCCGTCTTTGTCACGCTGCCGTCCTGTCCGCCTCACACTCCTTGTCGATACGCTGCTAGGACGTGCGAGTGCTCGAAGCCAATCAACGCTGTCCCCACCCTGATTGACTGGCGACGTGGAGACAACAAAGGGCGCACACACGCGCTGACAACACCCCGAAGGCGGACACAGACAGCAGCTTGCTTTGAGCGCGCTCGCGGCGACTACTAACAGAGTTCTTGTGTACGCACTTCCTCAGGCAGTAAAGGTTGTCCAAATCAAACCGTCTTCCCCAACTTTTGATTGGGAATCTTTATCTTGTCAACCACACAACATTCGACAATTGGCGACCCCTTTGCGAACAGCAATCTTTCTTGTAATCTACGATAAAGCCAGACGTTGATCATGGACAACCTTCCATCGGAAGTGCAGCATATTTTGGCACCCGCCTCCGGCATTGGTTCGGCAACGCAACTTACGCAGATGGCTGATCGTCTTATGGAGATGCACGGCTTTTCCAAGCCGTCACTTTCGGCATTCTCAACTCCCTCAACTCATCCTACGTCTCCCCTTTTACAGTTGGAGATTGAGCTCAGCAGAGTGGCTGATGATATAGCTTCACTACAGAAGCAGACACTCTCCCACTCATTTCGGAGCCAACCAAGGTCGTCCACCCCGCATCTCCAGTCTTCACATTCAGCCCGTCTAAACGCAGCTGCCATCTGCTGGTACCGCACCAACTTTGGTGTTAAAGCCCGTCGCTGCATCTCTCCCTGCTCCTTCACCTCCAAACAGAGCAAACGGGTAAAACCGGTCAGCACGAAGATCAGTGCAGCCAATCAGCTCGATAACTCTTCCGGCTCTGGTTGCACCTTCTATGTTTGCGACACTGCGACTCGCAGACGTTTCTTGGTGGACACTGGAGCCCAAATCAGCGTTGTTCCCCCAACTGCAGCTGATCGCCGTTTTCCTAGCCCTGGTCTTCACCTCCAAGCTGTCAACTGTTCCCCCGTTCCCACTTTCGGTAGTCTGTCCCTCACCCTGAACATTGGCCTTCGTCGGTCATTTACTTGGATCTTTGTGATTGCTGATGTCCCTCATGCAATCCTCGGCTCTGACTTTCTTGCCGAGTTCGATCTCCTTGTTGACTGTCGACGTGCCGGTCTCCTCGACCGCACAACCGGTCTGTTTGTTCGTGGACTAACTCCCTTTACTGCCCCCACCAACTTGTCTGTCTTGGATACGGACATTGCCAGTCCCTTTCGGCAACTGCTGCTTAGTTACCACAAAATAAGTAAACCCCAGTTTCGCAGTGGTGAGGTTCAACATGGTATTGTGCACCATATCTGCACCTCAGGTCCTCTTGTGTTTGCTCGACCGAGACGGCTAGCACCGGAGCCTTTTCAGGCCGCGAAGGCGGAGTTCGAACACATGCTGCAACTGGGAATAATTCGACCTCCGAGAGCCCTTGGGCGTCCCCACTGCACATGGTGCCCAAGGCGACATCAGACGACTGGCGACCCTGTGGCGACTATCGTGCCCTCAACATCGCTACCATTCCTAATCGGTACCCCGTGCCTCATCTTCAGGACTTTGCTGGAGTCCTTTTCGGCAAAGAGGTTTTCTCGAAGATTGATCTGGTACGTGCTTTTCATCAGATTCCAGTCGCCCCTGAGGACATCCCTAAAAACGCCGTCATCACACCCTTCGGTCTCTTTGAGTTCATCCGCATGCCGTTCGGTCTTCGTTATGCCGCCCAAACGTTCCAGAGGTTCATCGATCATGTCTTACGTGACCTACCCTTTGTGTACGCCTACATTGATGACCTCTTGGTCGCTAGCCGGAATGAAGAAGAACACAAAGATCATCTTGCCTTGGTGTTTTACCGTCTTGAGAAGTTTGGCGTTGTCCTCAACCCCTCCAAGTGCGTGTTGGGTGTGCCTTCACTCGAGTTTCTCGGCCATCAGGTCGACTCTGAAGGTTTGCGTCCTCTCCCCTCCAAGGTTGAAACAGTTCGTAATTTTCCTCCTCCAACTTCCAAGCGTCAGTTACAGCGATTCCTCGGCATGGTCAATTTTTACCGTCGGTTCCTACCGAACTGTGCTGGCCTCATGCTGCCGCTCACAAACATGATTTCTGGCCCCAAAGGTCCCCTCGAGCTGAGTGGTGAAGCACTGACTGCTTTTGAGAGAATCAAGAATTCCCTTGCCGATGCCACCTTACTCACACATCCCGCTCCCGAAGCTCACCTGTCTCTGATAATAGATGCTTCGACCGTAGCCGTAGGTGCAGTCCTTCAACAACACCTTGCTGATTCGACTCAACCAATTGTCTTTTTCCCCAAAAAGCTCTTACCAGTCGAGACACACCACAGAACATTTGGTCGTGAACTACTTGCCATTTACCTGGCTGTGAAGCATTTCCGGCATTTCCTTGGAGGTCGTGACTTCACTGTTTTCACTGACCACAAACCATGGACTTTTTCACTTCGTTCCCACTCCGACAAGTACAATCCGAGGGAAATCGCTCACCTGGACTACATCTCCCAATTCACCACCGACATCCGCCACATTGATGGCACGAAGAATGAGGTAGCTGATATGCTGTCCAGACCCTCACTGTCTTCTCTCCAACTCACACACGGGATCGATCTTTGTGCCATGGCCGCTGAGCAACAGCGAGTCGGTTGTCCTGGTGACGAGTCTGTTAGTGGTCTCCTACTCAAAGACGTTCCTCTGACCGCCGGCTCTGGTACCATACTTTGTGACGTCTCAACTCCCTTTCATCGCCCTTTCGTGCCCGCCTCGATGCGTCGAGCTGTATTTCAAACTTTGCATGGGCTCCCCCACCCTGGGATCCGAGCTTCTCAAAAGCTCCTTACGGAAAGGATTGTCTGGCCTGGCATGAAGAAGGACGTCAAAGCCTGGGCTCGGTCGTGTCTGAGCTGCCAGCGCAACAAGGTGCAGCGTCACAACAAGTCCCCACCAGGCACTTTCCCCAGTCCCGACGCACGGTTCAGCCATGTGCATCTGGATGTCGTAGGCCCTTTGCCTCCCTCCACTGGTTTCACCCACCTCCTTACCTGTGTCGATCGATATACTCGCTGACCTGAAGCTATTCCTTTGCCGAATGTGCAGGCTGCAACCATCGTGAAGGCCTTCGTCAGGCGTTGGATCGTCATGTTCGGTGCCCCATCCACGGTTAAGACTGATCGTGGTGCCTAGTTTGAGTCGGCACTCTTCCAAACGCTCCTCAATTTCCTTGGCTGCACACGCATTCGGACGAAAGCCTACCACCCAGCTGCCAACGGTATGATGGAACGTTTCCATCGTCAGCTAAAGACCGCCCTGCGTGCCGTAGAAGACCCAGAAAACTGGTCGGACAACCTTCCTCTTGCACTCCTCGGCATCCGCGCAGCTCTGAAATCGGATCTAGGATGTAGCCGACTGCCAGGCGAGATGATCACTCCAACCTCTCGTGGGGCCGACGAGACTCCTGACAATCTTGTGTACCGTTTGCGGCAGTTTATGCGCTCGCTTTCCCCGGTTCCACCTCGAACTCCAATGACTGAGTCTTATGTCGAAAAAGACTTGGAGAAGTGTACTCATGCGTTCGTCCGGTGTGACCGTGTGCGCCAGCTGCTGGAATCACCATACGAAGGACCGTTCCGCGTGCTTGCGCGCAACACCAAG